AACCCCTGTTCTTTTTCACCACCTATCTGAAATGCTTCCATTTCCTCTCTTGGCAGAGACAGAAATTTTTCTTTTTGCTAGGATACGGTTTAGCTGTATTCATTTAGGCTAATAGGAAGGCTCAAAAGAAAAAATGTCAGAGAGGCAACGTGTGATAAAGGACTGGAAGTAGCAAGAATGCCGGTGACAGAAAGATGTGTAAATTATAAGCATCAAGAGGAAACTTGAAACTTCATAGCATCTGAGGTTTTCCAGTGACAAAGTATTAAGTAAAAAGAATAAACTGCCGTTGAAGAGTACCTACTGACGTTGTAACGAAGGAGGATGAAACGTCAAGGAATTAACTTGAACTGTTCTAGGAAGCATCTAGAAAAGGACTGAGAACAACACAGACTGGTAGGGCAACAATAATAGTACTGATAATCGGTTCCTGACTTTTGGGGACCTGTATGTGGCTAGGGTTTAAGACAGACAATTGTAAGACCAGTTCTGAAGGAGTACGCTCTGATACAGAAAAGCGGGGCAGACACGGCATTTCGGCGCTCTACAGCTGTACCGTGGCTAACTACTTGAGGTGCCGGAATAACCTTGTGTCCCTCTTCACAGGACGGCACCCACTGCACAGCATTTAAGGGAGCTTAGATGTAACTGCGCTATGCACCCCAGCCCCCTCATTTGTCAGTCTAACGGCAATGATACCAACCATTTCAGAAGATGAAGGGCAGTAAGAGCTAGGTGTATTAATACAGCGCAGTAAAATGGAAGATATTGTAGGAAAGGGTAATACACTTCTGAAATTTGACATATGAAAGTAACATCTATTTTGTGGATAAACCGTATGTTTATTAATTGCTGTAAGGCGTTCATTGGTCTTTCTGATCTCAATGAAGCCAAATTTTAAAAATTTGATGTACACCTCTGCCAAAACGTGACCATAGTTTTCTCTCGTTTCGCAGAGGAGCCAGGGCAGAACCTGAGCCCTCCGGAGGATCTCGACCGGACCTGCTGCACGACTCGGCTCTGCCAGAGGTTTCCACTACCTGCAGGTCAGTCCCCGCCACCGATCGCTGCGCAAGCGGGACAGCAGGACACGAGTGAGAACGGGAGGCTCCTCGGGGAGGAGCTGTGAAACCTTGCTCCCCGATTTCCAGGATGTGGCGAGGCGGGGAACGGCGACGGCTGTTCGGTGGCGGGCTCTTTTCCTCCATCCCCGCTCCCTCCTTTCTCACAGCGCCCTTAAAGAGAAGTCCCCGGAGGTCCCCCAAGGGTGTGCGAGAACAAGTCGCGCCTGGGAGCGGGCGTGAGGGGGTGCGGGCCGCCGGGGCCGGACCCGCCGCCGCACCAACGCCAGCAGGCAGAGTTTGGGGTGCCCGACGGGCCACCCCG